AAGGGCTCGGGAGCATTCCAGACTCTTGTTGTGGGCTCATGGGCAATCCAGACTTATGCTGAGGACCCTGCAGGGGTATTCCAAACATAGGCTGTGGGCCTAGTGTACATGTTTGTTTATGTTTCGTGTGTGGTATTTTGGGGGACTCACTAAGCTTTGGTTTACAATTTAAGTGTTATGTTTCAGCTACTTCAGATGATCGGGACAAGACGAAGGCGTGACCATATACATCATTCAGTGATATGTTTTGGAGATTTTATGATACTTTTATTTTGGGATAATTGTATCTGATACTTGGTTTTAGTACTTGGGTTTTGATTGAAACAATGATTTTACTTTAACTGAAAAATTAAAATTTTATCATGATTTTTGGGGTGTTACAATCATTGTAGTGAAATGTTTTTTTAAGTCAACAATATCAATTATTTATATTCTACTTCTTTATTTTATTTAACATTTAATGTTTTATTACTCTTTTAGTTTCATATATTTTAAAGATATTTGTTTAATTTCATGCATCATACCGATTGTTTTTATGGGTATTGTAAAAATCGGTCTAAAACTCAGATTAATACTAGTCTCCATCTACATATGAATAAAGTTAATTGGTCGTATTAGGTGTATTAATAGGTGGGTTTGGTCAAAATTGGTTTTGAGTAAATTACATGAATCGTCCCTCGTGCACTTGCCAAAAGACATGTCCAGTCCCTATTTACAAAAATTAATTCATACCGTCCCTTGTTTGTTTAAAAGTTGCAAACTTCATCACTCTGGACATAAAAAGACTATTTTGCCCTTAATAATTTCTTTTTTAATTTTATTTTGTTTTTTTTATCATTTTTAAATTAAAAAAAAAGAAACAAAAAATCAAGAATAGATCACCCTTCTATAATTTGGACCCACTTTTTTTTTCCCTATTTCTTTTAGCTACAGATCAAGAATAGAGCACCGCTCTATAATTTGAGCATTTATCTCAGTGAACTGATTTGCATAAGATGCTGTCCGTGGTTATATGATTTTTTTTATTGATGAAGGTTAATTTGGGGAAAAAGAGGTAGTGGTCGGTGGCGGTAGTCAAGAGGGTTTCCGGTGGTTCTCCAAATTTCCGTTGGTGGTGTTTAAGTGTTTTCCAACAAAACAAAAGAGAAACACATGTATTAGGTTTAATGTTTTAATTAAATAACTTTTTAATAACTAAAAATAATCAGAAATATAAAAAATAAATAAAAAGTAAATTGAAAAGAGTATTATAGTCGTTTTATGTCTTGAAAGGAATGAAACATGCAACTTTTAATCAAACGAGAGACGGCCTGAGTTAATTTTTGAAAAATAAGGACTGAACATGCATTTTAACACTTGCACAAGAGACTATTCGTGTAATTTACTCATTGATTTTTAATCGGGCTAGGTAGTCAAAAATAGTCAAAACGATCACAATTTATAAAAAAAAAGGTCAAGAAAATAAAAAAAAATATGAAAAAAATGAAAATCTAGGAATAGTGAACTAAATGTGTTAATTTCAGCTCCACGTCTTTGTCACTCATCACGCCGACACTAGTTTATGTTTAACTTAACATAAAATGAATCAAATTTTGTTATTTGTTTTAACTTTTACTTATCTGTATAATCTTTGATGTGTATATGAGCCTAAAGTGAATCAAATTTTGCTATTTGTTGATATTTATTTATTTTTAAATAATTTTTGTAATATGATTTCCGATTAATCATCGCCTAGACAGATTAATCTTTTTACCGCAATCTACCAACCAGATATATATTAATGTCAAACACTTTTTTAATATTATAAATATTAGAATACTTAAAATCAACATATATAAGGCGGCTTTATAAAATATTTTACAAAGATAAAAATAATTTAATTTTATGAAAAATGGTCGATCATCCAAATTAATATATAATACCATTTTGTGTAACAAAGAGATATAACGTGACAAGATAAAAGAAAATAATAATAAAATATAAAATAAAAAACTCTAGATAGGAGGTCGATAATAACAAGTCATGTAAATTTGTATCCTTGTCTCTGCTCTGTCTTAGCTCCTTGCTAAGAAGGGCGTCGTGTTATTTTTTAATATATTTGGTCTTTCAAAAAATAATTTGCAAGGCTTACTTTTTTTTTTAACCGGCAAATGAAATATATATTGAGAAAAATAAAAAACTCCAGCAAAAACAGGAAAGAAAAAAAATTACAATCCAATAAAAGGGTTTGAACACCAGTCTGTCTAACTAATCTTCTCTGCTTTTCCCCTGTATTTCACCCAAGTAAACACCGTATATATAATAATATCCGCCACTGCAGACGGTTGTATCCTTTTATTGTTGAACAACCTCTCGTTTTGTGATTTCCATATACTCCATACAGCCCCGTAGCAAATACTTGTCAACCTCCTTTTTTTTTCAGGCAGTTACCCCAGTTTGATACCAGTTCGACTACATCAAGAACCGAGGAGAGGTTTGTGTGTTGAATATTGCACCATTTTAGTATCCACTCCATTACTGATTTTGCAAAAGAACATTGTATCAGTACGTGGTCCGTTGTTTCCTCCTCATCCCCACATTGACAACAAGTTGTTGATTGTACATTGACTCCGCGTTTCGATAGATTGACTGATGTTGGAATACGATCATGTTTCGCCCGCCAAATGAACGTGTTGACCTTGATCGGAGTCTCTTTCACCCATTCGAACCTTCCGTTGTCAACCAAGTAACAGCTGTCGAGTTTCATTCTTAAGGCTTTGACCTGATAATCCCCATTACTAGTGAGAGGACAGAACCATCCCGCTTCATCATTTGACGATTGTTTAGCCAATATCATCTCAGTTGTTAATCCATGCTTCGCCAAATCTTTTTGCGAGCATGCAATGTTGTTCCACACACCTGTAAGGGTTTTTAGTGAGAAAACATGGTATGGTTTACCCGCGAGGTTGTGTATACAAGAGATGGCTTTTTGCCCATATAAATTCCGGCTCCAGAATCGCCACCACCACTTAACGATTAGAGTTGTGTTAAATGCTTTTATCGAACCAACTCCGAGTCCGCCTGCCGACTTGCAAGGCTTACTTGAATTCCCATATATGTCTATGTGGCCTTGCAAATTCAATTGCAATCACCCGAATGTGGGTGCTCTTACAACAAAATAAATGTAAAAAGTACTAATAATTAATCTTGTTATCATTTATTATCTTGAATGGAAGGCAACAACTAAACGCCTGAGCTTTAAATATTTTATTTATGGTGATTTAACTAAGTTGGTTGTCGTTTCTTGGTCCTAGTTAGATATAGAATAGTAAGAACTATAAATCTGTTTTAATTTTTGTTTCAATAAAATTTGAAAGTTACCAGATTTTTTATGGTAAATTTTGTTTAAAATAATATTAGATCAAGTTGAAGAGATAGCCGAACACAAGCTAAATCGGGGAGAACCGCACCCTCTCCTATATCCATCTCGATGTCTTACCTAATCATATATATGATTTTGTTGAAAATAATCAAATGCATTTTCAAATCACCAGATAACTTATAAGGTTGAACATGTTTCTAAAAATCGAACTAAAAAGTTTAATTTTCTACTTTCAATATGCGAAAGTTTTTTTTTTCTTCACTTTTTGGTCTTTGTTTTTAGTTTTTAAGTTTTTTCATTAATCATCCTACTAAAGGTTTTTCATTTTTTTTTTAAAAAAACAAGTAATTTCTAAACAATATATAAAAAATGAACTTATAAAAAGGAATTGTAAAAAACATATAAAAAGTAAATTTGTAAAAAACATGTAAAAACAAAATAAAAAATTAAATTTAAAAATAATTTTGGGAAAAAGACGTAAAAAACGAATTAAAAGATGAAGTTGTAAAAACGAATTGTGAGGAAAAAACATATAAAAACGAATTAAGAAAAGCTATAAAAAGAAATTGTAAAAAAAAAAAAAACAAAAATAAAAAAAACAAAAGTTCAATGATGCCAAAAAAATAAAGTTCAATGACCTTAATTAAATTAAAAAAAATAACATAAAATTTGTTGTTGTCCATGATAAAAATTAGGTTAAATAATTTTAAAACTTAAAACAAATTAAATGAACTAACCAAATATAATCTTAACCATTAAGGTTAAAGGCAGTCCTTATAATAACTAATGACTACCTTTTACATGATGATCACTCATTGCTCTTTAACCGTTATTGGAATTCATTATATTTTGTGTATGTGTATATGCAAAGAGATAGCTCGGTAGTGAGTAATTTCACAATAAACCTAAGATTAGTTTTTGATAGTTTTCAAAAAATATGATTATTTGGTCTCCAGATAGGCAGACACCTCTCTCAATTCGGTCATTTTAGTAATTATCTATTTGTTTTTACCTCAAAGGCTCAAACTAAATTTATATTTGTATCACGTTACTCGCTTGTGTTAAAAACATAATAATAAATAAAAATTCATTAAATTGTTTAACAACTACCATAGACTTGTGTTCATTGGCGTAATGACATTACTCCTGTCAAAATGATGAAATTGTTTTCATCACGTATAATGTGCATGCACAACTACGTAAGTAACTATACACCATATATAAAATTTTCTTTTTGTTTCCTGTTATATTTTCATATATGGTTAAGATTTATGTACATAAATTTTGAAATACTTCAGTTATATCTCAAGTTTTAGCCCTGAATTAAATAGATTTGTCAAAAAGCATTATATATGTTTAGTATATTGTCGTAAACGAATTGAAAGACACACGGTATTACCCAAGCTATTTTTGGATACTTTGACATTAATAGAAGAAATTACGTTTAAATAAACCTATAACATTCAACAAATACGCCACATAGGAAATGACAAAAATAGCCTTACATGCAGTTACAACTAAAGAACAATGTTCTCTTGTTTAGGTAGTAACAGAACGACATAGTTCACAAAGCAACAAATAAACCAACAATACCTTCTCGAAACACAAACTAACACAGCTATGGTTACTACAACCATTTTCAAGGAAGTGGAACTGCACCAGAATCATCTCCGGCACCAGGTCCACCACCACCAATTCCACCGCCACCTAGAGCCGGCAAGCCAGCAAAACCATTAGCAAGACCTCCAAAAGTTCCTACACCACCAGCAGCTGCACCAGGTCCACCAAATTGGTAACCAGCACCTACACCTCCGATCCCATTGGAGGTGCCAATGCCAACTCCGGCGCCACCACCACCAATGGGTTGGCCGTTGTTATCAAAGCCAGAAAAGCCACCCAGTCCACCAAAACTGACAATGTTCTTTTGTTCAGTTAGACCGACAGCAGCTTTGTTGGTGTCACTAGGAAGGTCTCTGGCAATGGTACTTTCTACTACTACTGCTGTTAAAACAACCAGTAACATGAAACGCCAGTTTGCCATATTCTTTTTTTATATTTGTTTACTTGGCTATAAGCGTATGTGTCGGATGCAAGATTTTTGAATATAGGAATGCCCTTTTTAAAGCCAAACTCGGGCAGTTGGACAGAGTAAATGGCCTTAATTTCTAGGGGTGTTTGGTCAATTGGTAGGGCAAAAAATAATATTCACCCATAAACCTTCAATTTAGCTGTCTTTTTTATTTTTTTGTACCTTGAACGCCAATTATTTATTTCGATTGTATTTTATTTATTATCTAGATGGTGAAATCTGACGAACCACATGCTCAGATATCTATTTCTGTTGCAAGAAGATCCAATCTTTAAATGGGAAAATCCATCAGAAAATGGTCTCAATTCATATATTGAGTGTAAAACAATCGGTCAAAATGGTCTAAATCCATTACAAAAAAACAGAAGTTTCAGGCAAAATCCATCGCTAATCTGTTAATTTAGGGCAGTGGCAAGTTTTATTGTGGCTAACTGGTGGGATGTCAAGTCCACCAAGCAAATTACACAATTTGTTTGCAAATAAAACGTAATATAATAGTAAAAAATGGTATCGATCATCGGGGAAATGGTTGTATTCAATCACCAATGCAATCCAATAGAACTAGTGAAAATAAACTAAGGTAGTGTTTGTTTTTTGTCTGCAGATCTGCGTGGCCTCTTCTGTCTGCGCCGCGCAGACCACACGCAGACATTAGCCTTCGCAGACTGTTTGTTTTTTTGAAGACTGTAGACCTAAAAATGTCTGCGCGCCCTCTTCTTAGCGCAGATGTAGACCAGAGTCTTCTAACATCTTCATACATCTTCTAGCCTAAAAAAACATATATATCTTTATTTTTTTTAAGTTTTTTTTTTAATTTATATTTTTTCCAACTTTATTAATGATAAACAATTTGAAAAAAAAATACAAAACTAAAAAAAAAAACGTTCGGCGATACAACATGATATTTTTGACAAATTTATAAATAAAGATTTATTACAATAATAATCGTTGAAGTTGTTTATATAAAAATGAAAAAAAAATAATATATTCTTATATTTTTTTTGCTAAATTTTGTAAAACATTATTTAATACAGTATCGTCAATTTCTCGAGAAAATATTTATGATACGTTTTAATGGATTTAATTGAAAAAATCGAAGTTTATTTCCATCCATTTATGTATCAAATTCTTTGATCACTAATTATAATGTTTAGTTATAACTTTGCAACTAAAATTGTTGGTTTTTATCAAATATATACGTTAATTCATACCATTTTTATTTTTATTTTTTATACAATAATACATAAAAGTTGATCTAGATTCGTTAATTATTTCTAACAAAGTCATAAAAATATTAAAAAATCATTTTGAAGTTTAAAAAAATCAGTTTATTTAGATTTCAGATTATTTTCGTAGCCCGCAGATGTTAAAAAAAACAAACAGTCTTCTTTTTTCAGACTGCGGACGTTTGGTCCACCTCTTCTACTGCAGAGGTCTACAGATATGGTCGGCAGACTGCAAACATTTTGCCTCAGAAAAAACAAACACCACCTAACTAACTACAATTAAACTAAAAGGTGGGGGGGGGGGTGTTATGATTGCTTGAAAACTAAAAGACTTGAATAACTAAGAACTTGCAATTAAGCAAGAAAGTGA